ATTACAACCCAATCCATAGGTTTAGGATTGGATAAACATGTGCAATCTTCCATTCTGATAGGATATCACCAATTATAAAGAAAATTTGTATGTTTTCAAAGAAGGTGTTGAAGATTAGGCCCAAGATGTTTAATTTGTTTATTATGTATTCCAGAAGGTCTAGCTGCTTTTTCATTGGAAAGTTTGGCAATCATAGCCATCCATTTTTCAAAAATAGGGGATCCATAAATCGATCATACTAAGAGCTATCAACAAAATCTTTAGGCACATATTGTGATAACCATCGATCTGAAAGAGAGGTAGTAGGAGTTATAGGAATAGCATAGTTTTGAAAGTGATTATTGACCAATGTTTTGATTCTTTTAGGATTAGAGACAAGTTCTTTAGAGCCAGAAGATGTAGTAATCAATAATCTATTTAAAACAATCTGTTTTTTATTTCGTCTGAGGGTAGATTGAATCATTCTTTCAGGATTTGATTCATATTGAAGATATCTTTAATGTATGAAATGTTTAATTTTATTAGTATTGATGTTGTTTTCTTCTATTTTAGAGAGAGCTTTTATATTTCTAAGATATATTTTCTAGTAGCTATAATATTATCAGATGATTTGGGATAGATTGCATTGGAAGATCAGCATTATTAATTATATTATATAATGTGATAATATCTTCATCCCATTCTACACTAATAAGGCCAAGTTTTAGACTGTACTCTTTTGTTATGAAACTTGAGAAGAATTCTGTTGAGTTTTTTAAGTCGATCATAATGAGTAACCAATTCTTTAGGTTTAGATGCATTATCATAGGAGGTTACCCATTTATACGGAATGTTACAAGAGGCAACATGGGTGATATCATTGTAAATAGCTTCCCATAATTTATTCATATTTGCTTTATTCAGAAGTAGATTAATAACAATAAGCAAATTCAAAGAATTGTTGTAGAAATAAAAATCAGTTTATTCTGAAAATTTAATCCATTTCTCATGATTCATAAGGGAAAAAGTCAAAACTTTTCTCTTAGTATTGTTCCTTCTAGCTTTAGCATTTTTTTCAATTTTGACATTAGCAAAATAGATGATCAGCATTTTATGGTTAGATCTATAAAGAAAGTACTTTGCAATTCCACAGTAGATAAAATCAGAAATAAATTCTGAGAAGGCAAAGATTCCATCTAATCGTTTGGATATAGTTTTATATTTATCACTATAAGAAGGAATAAAGGTTAGTTTTGGTCTGTCATTGCTAATATCATGTAAATTTCTTTGAAAAAGACCTTTAATGAGATCAAATTTCCAGCTGGGAGATTTTCCAGAGTATAAAAGTTTGTTAAAATCATTAATATCAGTATTAAAGTCTCCCATAAAGATTATATGATAATGTTCTCTGATAGAATCATTAATAATATGTAGAAGTTATTTCTGTAATTCTCATCTATTATGTTTATCTTGAGGATTACTGGAAGATACGTGAATATAAAAGCTGAAAACTCTAAGTTTAGCATGTCCATTTAAAAATAGGTCAATATAAATGAATCTGTTGTTATCCAAAACAGATTTTGTAATAAAGTAGCTCCATTTTTTGCTGATAAGGTGTCCTACCCTAGGAGCAGGAGAATCATCAGGATCTGGTTTACTCCAAAAGGAGACAAAATCAGAATCATTTTTATATTTAAAGAATATCGACGATTTATGATGCGTTTTATAAGATTTACAAAATCAGTTTTTTTTATTTTAAATGTATCAATAATTAGATTACATTTGATATTATCATTCATTCTACGCAAATTATGAGTAGCAAAACTAAAGACGTTACCCGATATAATATCAAGAATGTCTGTATTGGATAAGTGTTCAATATTATTGTCAATAACATTAATTTCTATATTTCTATTTGTGTGAAAGGTATTTATTTGTGTGTTGAGAAAATTATTTATGTCTATTTGATTATGAGAGTCAATTCAATTATTAGTAGAATTGACATTATCTGTGATTTGCCTAATATGAAGGTTTTATAATCGTTGAGCCAGTGACCCATTCAGATTAGCAAAAGAGAGCATTTGAGAATCTAGTTTTGCTAAATGTTCTTTAATAGAATCCAGTTCTTTTAATTTGCTAAGGATCAAAGTTAATGGATCAGTATTATTTTTGAGATCAGTTGAAGGTAAAACACAATCTTTTTCTTTTTATAAAACACTGGAAGGTAATGGATCAGTAAAGTTATTATCTACATATCTATGAGCTGTAGATTGTTGTAGACCTGAGGTATATAAATTATTATAATAGGTTGTGTTGTGATTGATGAGGAAGTATGTTGTCATGTATAGGATCTATTAAGCTTACGAGTTCTATCATCTAGAAGGTATTCATTATGTGATATTCTAATTTTACATATGTTAAGCATATGGGAGCGTTTCCAGTAAAATCACATTACGGATCATATGATTTACTATGCCTCATAACTTGATTTTACTGGAAACGTTCCCATATCTTCTTCAGTAACAAAAGCAAAATAAGCAATACGACCATGAAAGTAATAAGTTCTTCTATTGTAAGGTCGCATAGTTCTCATAGCTTCAGATGTTATAGTGTATTCTTTAAATCCCTTAAAACCAGCTACAAATCAGTTTCAGAGCTTAAGTTCGTTAACGGATGTATCAATATTTAGAAATATTGACTGCTCAGGCTTCTTTTAATTGTTGAGATTTACGAATTTTAGAAAAAGTAATAATGACATCTCTATTGAAAGGATTTCTATAATTATGTTTTTCTTCAAGGGATGCAACATTTCTATAATATGTAATAGCATGTTTGATATCATCGAGATCAATCAAATATAGAACTTCTTTAAATTTGTAAATGGGGGTTGAAGATTCAAAATTTTTAACTGGATGAATCAATTATATTGAAGTGAGAGTGTGGGTACTGTTCTAAAGCTTTATCTATGGCTTTTAATAAAAGTTTTCTATTATTGAAACGAAATACTATATGTGCATTACCGTTAAGGAATTCCCAATCTAAGTCAACAAATCCTGAGAGAGGAGCTAACAACGAATTTATCAGTTCTAATTTTTCATATCTAGTATCTCCTGATGCAAGCATAACTATTACAGATGCCTTGATAAATTTTGTAAGAAAATACGAGAGATTTTAGGCTTGTTATATAGTGACAAAAATCTTGAGAATGTAATTGAGGTTTAATAGTATTCAAACTATTTCTATGGTAATTATGTTGAGAGTTTACAGCTGTTTCTTTGGGGATTGAAATCATATAACTTTCATCAGCAAGTGAAGAATCACGTGTATCTTATATAATAACTGATGTAAAAGACATGTTATTATTATTTATGTTGTGTGATGTATCATTATTTTTATTAAATGGATATGTGTTAAGATTGTTATTAATAACAGACGTGTTACTTTTATGTATAATTTGTTATTTACATGATTGTTATTTATGAGACCATTTGTTTTCACAGCAGTTGAAAGCCTTGGTGAAGAATTAGCAAGAGATGAAATTTCTGATGAAGGAAGTTTATTATGAAATTTATTGACAGAAGAATCCATATCATCTTCATCCAAAGTATTTATATCAGGTGAAATAGAGTCAGCAATAGAAATAATATCATTATTGTCGACAATGTTATTAATAGTATTGTTGATAAGATTTTTGGTATTATATACAGCGAAATCCTCTGTTCCAGTTTCGTGTATAGTAAAAACACTAGAATGCGCCAATTGTTCTATAAAGTTTTGTAGAAGTTCTATCTTATCAGAAAAGAGTTTATCATAATCAAAATTTAATTTTCTAACAAGCCAAAAAATTTTGGGTGTTTAAAAGCTAAGATATTTAGCGATCTCTATATCTCTTTCGGCAAGGTGAGAAGTAACAAAAGATAAAGTTTTTAAGAATTTTTGGGTGTCTTGGGAAAATGTTTCACAGAAGTTTTCTAAAGTATTTGTATTCATTTTTGTTTAAGGGAATAAAATTAAGTTGTTAAAAGTTTATTTGTATATATTTAATAAAGAAAAAATAATAAAAAGTGAAATATTTAAAGTTTTTGTTTTTTATAAATTTTGGTTTGAAGCGAAAAGAGAAAGAGTTTTTTTAACACTTGCGCTAGTCGAAATAATCCATTTCGTCACTTTTTAAAAATGCCGAATGTTAGCCAAAATATAGTCTAATTTTTGCTGATCATTGCTAAAACAATCAGCATTTTTGGTTATAGCTGAAGTTACCTATTTTCATATCACATAAAAAACATTTGACATTAATGATTGGTAGTTGTTTTATATGTTTGATAAAATCAGCTTAAATTCATTCAACTAACAAAACAAACAAAATTTGACTTGTTAATAAAAAGTTTGGTAATATTTCAGCTATAAGTAATCGCAAAATCGGCGAAATAAAATTTCTGATATTTAGACGATTTATTTTCGTATTTTTTGAATATTTATTTATTTTATAATAACGTAATTTAATCAAATTAATAACAAATGTTTTATTAAGTTAAAATATAAAATAAAATATATAATAAAATATAATTATAAAATATAATAATACAAATATATATAAAATAAACTAAGAATCAAATAAAATTCATTATAAATTATGATATGCTGAATTTATTCTTCTTCTTCAATATCATCATCTTGACCTTCAACTTCGGTTACTGGTGCTGAAAAATCAGTGTCTGCTGGAGTATTTTGATCTACAAATGTCCAGTCAGGAGTGTTTTGAGATGTCAAATATGTATCATAAAATCGTAGCTATAATATTGAGTTCTCATTAATTGCGTAATTTGAAGCGAGAATGCATAACAGTCAACCCCTCACAACAACGTTCTCAACTAATAAAATTAAATATTAGAATTAGTTAAAATTTTAACAAAAATTATAAATAAATTTCTAAAAAAGTATCAAACCTCATCTGATCTCCAGCTTGGGTTATAAACATTAATTGTTTGTGTTCCCGTTTCTTCTGAATCAGTCACCAAATCTTAGGAAAAATGATAATGATTGTCTTCTAAGATCCTCAATAACTCTTCCTTATCATATTTCAAAACTCTATCATCGCCGCCTAAATCAAAAAACGAATTGGTACCTTCAATCCTTCTGGCCTTTTTCTATATTAAAATATCTAATGTTAATTGAAGTTCATTTTTTTAAAAAAAATCAATTTCGATTATATTTATCTTACTGGTACAATTGTTTTTGTGTAATCGCTGATTATCATGATCTAAACTACCATGTTGTTTATATAATAACTGAACTCATCGATGCCTGTGAAGTGAGCTAAGCCAATCTTTGACTTGTTTGTATGTTATTTTGAACCTTTTTAAGGCTTTAATGAGATGCAGTATTACTTATTATAATATTTCAGTATTTTCTTCACTGCTGAACTTAAGATCATATTTCATTTCGAAATAGTTCGGCAGTGTTTTTAAAATCGTTCTCATTTCAATCTAAATTATAAAAAAATAAAGCTGATTTAAGTTAATTTGATTGATGTCGGTTATATTTGATTAAAATTCAATTAGAATTAAAGTTATTTTAATTAGAATTGAGAAGAGATTTTAAATGAACCCTGGTTGTACCATTGTCATAAGACTTCTCTTCATAGCTTTCATTACTACTGTGTCAAATTCACTTTTCTCAATGATCATCATCTAATTTTTCATCTCTAAGTCTTCATCGGCCTCGTCTAAGTTCGTCCTGCAAACTCTTATTTTTATGAATAAGTGCTTCGTTATCTCTAGTAACTTTGCCAAATTCTATCCTTAAATGTTTTAATTCTTTATTTGCATTGCTGAATTACCTGCTCAACTTGTCGATTTTTTCACGTAAATATGCTTTTTCATAGAAAAGTTAATAATAAATTGATTAAAAAATATATATCAGCTAAATTTTTACAATAAATTACACTTACCTTCGCTTAGCGAAGAATCAGTTGTTCCAGAAGAAGCTTCTCTCCTTCTTAGTTGATAAGGAGTTACATTCCTTTCATCATGTCTTTATCTGCGATCTCGTGTGTATTGATATGAAGTATATCAAAATTTGTCACCTTGAGAAATGTTGAATTGTCGATGATAAGGAGTTAGTTATACTACTTTCGCTATTCCTTTCATTGTGACGTCTTTCGACACCTATTTGCTGACATGTTGAAGACCTTTCAGTTATCCTCTGATGGGAAGCTAATAATGCCTGTAAATCCCAGTTATCAGTTTCTAGAATGGTATCTCTAACCATATCAGCAGTTGAGATTTTGTCATGTTGATGTTCATCTTTGATCCTGTAATTAAGCGAAACATTATAATCTCTATCTGGTCGAGTTGGAGATTGAGGTTGAGTTTCTTTGGAAATATTTGACGGATCCTACTGACGTGAAGATTTCAGTATTTCTAATTAACTTTTAGTTGTCAGAACCTGCCAACTTAATATTTTTTGACTACTTAGGTTTAGTGTCGAAACTTGTCAATATGATGTTTCTTTGCTACTAAGAGACGTCAAAGTTGTTGCTAAAATCTGCTAACATATTTCTTGGCTACTAAGAGGCGTCGAAGATGTTGTCAGAACCTGCCGACGTGTTTCTTGACTACTTGAAGGTATCAAAGTTGTTGTCTGAACCTGCTGACATAGAGTATCTGCCATTTATTGACTACTAGGAGTTTCTATCACTCCCTGAGTTTCTTATTAACACGTCGCCTTTTGGTAGCATAGTGGTTGATGACATACTATTACAGCTTTTTTTCAACTCATATTTCTAGTCATATTTGCAACATAATATTATTTAATAAAAGCAAAAAAACGATATTAGCAAAAGAGAGACGAAATATTATTTGTGAAAAAAGTGAGAAAATGATATTAGTGAAAGAGAAACGAAATATTATTTGTGAAAAAAATAAGAAAATGATATATACGAAAGAGAAACGAAATATTATTTTTAGCGAAAGATAAATGAAATATTGTTTGTGAAAAGATGTGAAAATTTTTTTGTTGAAAGAGATTTGAAATGTTGTTTGTGAGAAAATATTTAAGAGTTTGATAAAAATAATTTGAGGGAAATAAACTTTTTATAAGCTTTTGGTTAAATAGAGTTTATTTTAATAGTATAATACATTGCATGTAATTCATATAACTTTCGTGATTAATTCTTTAAATTTCAATTATAATGCTATAATTGTTTTAAGTTTTGATTTAATGCGATAATTGTTTTAAGTTTCGATTTAATGTGATAATTGATTTAAATTACGATAATAATGCAAGTATTCTTAAAAGTTTCAATACAGGTATTCTTTTAAATTTCATTTATAATGCAAGTATTCTTTTAAGTTTTAATGTAATGTACGATAATAATTTTGTTTCAATGTAATATGCGATAATAATTTTAAATTTCGATTATAATGTAGTAATTCTTAAAAATTTCGATTACACTAGTCGAAATAATTCAATTCGTCACTTTTTTAAAGTTCCAAATGTTGGCCAAAATATAATCTAATTTCTGCCGATCATTGCCAAAACAATCGGCATTTTTAGTTATAGCCGATGTTGCCCAATTCAGGTGTCACACAAAATAACATTCAACATTAATGATTGGTAGTAGTTTGATACGTTTGATACAATCATTTTAAATTCGTTTAACTAATAAAACAAATAAAATTCAACTTAGTTAATAAAAAGTTCGGTAATATTTCGGCTATATGTTGATAAAATTGGCTTAAATTCGTTTAATTAATAAAACAAACAAAATTTGACTTAGTTAATAAAAAGTTCGATAATATTTCGGCTATATGTTTGATAAAATCGGCTTAAATTCGTTTAATTAATAAACAAACAAAATTCGACTTAGTTAATAAAAAGTTCGGTAATATTTCGGCTATAAG